GGGTGACTGCAACAGCGTCTGCCCTTTGAGTGTGACATGTCATTCTCCAGGGTCCAATAGCCTCAGCCCCCATCGCAAATGTCCTCCCAGGCTCCTGCCAATACAGGTCTGGCAGCTCATTTGGGGTACAGGTATCCTCCCTGGGCAGGCCTTCCACCTTCTGCCTAGGCTATGTAGGGTCTTAACCTGACACCCAGAAGCAATGCTGGGGTGTAGGCAGGGTCCTGAGGAGACCCTCCGTCCTCTTCCCTGTCCCCTAGCTGAATCTTGCTTGAGCAGAGTGAGCTCGTTGGAGGTTTTTGTGCAGAGGGAGACAGCCTGACCACAGCCCTCCCCAGCCCACACCTCCAGGAGATTAGGAACTCCTTCCGCACTGCTGAAAAAGACTTTCTGATTGTCCTGCTCTCAGGCGACAATTCCCAGTCCTTGATTTCTTCTTTCCTTTTTGAATGTGGTGTAGGCCTCTCAGAAGCCAGCTGGTTCCAAATCTTCATCACCTTTGCTGTCACCACAGGAACTAAGTACATCAGCCGCTCACCTTGAGACCACCCTGCCTCTCTTGCCACTTCCTTTCCTGTCCCCTCCTGTGTTAGTCTGAGGAACTGTGGTAGCGCTCCATGCCGTGGGTCTGGGCCCTGGTGTCCCTTGCCAGCAGGGGATCCAGCTCCTCCCATACAGGGGAGCCCCACTTCAGGGTCTCATTGTGAGGGTCTGTTTACCTAGGTCACTGCTGGTAGCAATTTCTGCATCTATCAGAGGCCCAGCAGGACACAGGTCTGGCTACTCCCAGTCTGAGCAATTTGAGGACAGTTGACTGAGGAGAGTGTTGGGGTCTCTGTGGGTCTAGCAAACACTACAGGCTGTCAGAGTGGGGAGAGGGGCCCATTAGGGACCCACAGAAGATGGTCTGTGGAGAGGGCTGCCACCTGGGCCATGGCTCAGCAGAGGGATGTAGCCAGTCCACGGGAGACCCCAGGAGAAAGAGCCCTGGGTTCACTTCCCTCCAGACACCTGTCTCCTGCTGGTGGCCCCACAGCAGCCAGGAGCTAGAAGACAGGAAAGCCCTAGAGCCCGTACATGGCATTCCCCTCCCAGGTGTGACACAGGCAGCCCCTCCTCCATTTCAGAAGCTCATTCTTGAGTGCAACCACAGGGATGAGAGCAGGGACAGGAGCCCCTGACTAAAAATGGGGGGCTTACCAACAGTGCAGTGTGAGAAATGCCCTCGCCCCTCCAATGCCAAAGGAAGGATATGGAGACATGAGGTATGGTGAAGTGACACTTTAACGGAGGTCTTGCAAGCCCAGGTTTCAGAAGGGCAGGCGTGCCCAAAATGGTTACATGGAGCAATTTATTCCCTAGTGCACAAGTCCCTCCCCCAACTTCCTCATTGGCTGGGTATTATGGGGTGCATGATCTTCCCAAACGACACCTAAGATTTATTAGCCCCTTGCAAGGAATTCCTTTGTCTATGGGCTTAGGACAAGCCCACGAAAAAGTGCCACGAAAGCCCTGTGAAGGGAGAAACACCAGGGAATGAAGAAAACAAAAGGGGCTGGTAACTAATTACCATCTCAGTCACATGACCTCAGATAAGTTATTTCTGAAAACAAATCACTTAGATTATTTTTGTACACATAGGAATGTCAGCAGGAGAGAACTTTAGATTAGAAGGCTTTAGATGGCATGGGGTCCAACTACTGTATTATTCAGATAAGAGAACTAAAACCCAGAGCTGCTGACGTAGGGTACAAGTTTGCCTGCCCAGTTAGCAGGCCAGCACCCAACTCTGCTTTCTTCCTCCTCACACCACCGTTTTAAAAATGGGCATTTTTATTTATAAGGTGATCATGTGATCTGGTGCTACCATCGCCCATGGGGAATCTCACAGGTGATCTGCAGAGGCAAGGCTCCCTCACTGGGGAAGAAAGCTGCGCCATGGGCACCCTGTCACACCGACCCAGCAGATGAGGGTGAAGTCAGCTGCATGGCAGTCCTCTCTCAGCTCCTCCTCAGGAGATGGAACTGGGCTTTTCAAAAGGCAGCGGCAAACACATACAGAGAAAAGTACAACAAACATCCATGCGTCTATGCCCCTAAGTTACCAGACGTTAACCTTTTCACCATAAAAAAAACCTTTAGATTTTCTTCAATGAATGGAACCATTGCAGACACACTGAAGGCTCTGTGTACCCTCGGGGATCCCATTTCCTCCTCCTCCTTCCCAGTCAGTGAGCCTCCTTGCTGTCTTATCATTTTATCTGGGTGCAGTTCTAGCACGATGTTGTATTGTCTGACATCTTTTGAAAATCTGCGTCATAAGTGACACCCTTTAAGAACCATTCTTAACATTTTTTTCATTTAACTTTATTTTCAACATTTTTCATTATTCATTCATTTTCAGCACCTACAAGGCACTCAGCACACACACACACACACACACACACACGTAAAGTATATGTGATACAAGTATGCATAACAGTGTAATATGTACTGTACCTTAAGTTCTTCTTCCCTTTCTCTTGTTAATAAATGTTATGAACATTTATATTGCTCAGTTTTTTCCTTTCTTTCCTTCCTTCTTTCCTTTGTTTCTTTTTTGCTGTTATAACGATGCTGATCATACCTTTGCTGACGTTTCCTTCTGCCCAAATGTAAACATTTATCTGGGTTAGATACCAGGCCTAGAGCCAGCGGAATTCCTGGATCATAAGTCTGTGTAGTTTCAACCTCACCCAACCCTGCTCACGTTTTCTCCAAATTCTCACACAGTTGCCTTACCATTTCCAAGAGCTCCTTTTCGATCTGAGAAATTAGAGTGGTGGGAAGCCACCATCATCACAAGCATCACCCCAGGCCTAGCATGCCCACCTGTTTCTCATAAACAACCCACCCACAGAGGACTCTGTCTGGGCCCCTCCCTGGGTCCCACCCATCAGGGCCTTCCTGGAGAACCCTGCTCAGCTCAGGATTGGCAGCCCCAGAGGGAGGGGGCTGGGGCTGGTGAGGAGGGAGGAGGAATGGGTGGTCCTGTTTTGCCCTGGCTCTCCTCCCAGACTGGCTTCTGGGACCACTGTGCTAGGTCTCCTAAGAAAAGAAAGTGCCTGTCCTGGGCCAGCATGCATTTCTCCAGATGTAGAGGATTCATAAAGCAAATGCACATCACAGGGCCTGGTTTTCCAAAGCCTTGCAGTTTCAAATATTGACCTTGCAAAGGACAGGAAATTTTCCTCAGGCTATAAAGTCTCTGGTGTAAGATAAAGAATTCTAACACAGCAAGGTTGCTGGCTCAAAGACAGACTAGTTACTGATTGATGTGTAAAGATACTGGGAGATGCTGTAAGAAGGAATGTTTGCTAAGATCAAGCTTTTGTTGGTGGATCACTTAATTGCCTTAATGGAATGTCATCTGACTTGTCTTTACTGAATGTTATCAGCTTCTATTGTTAAACTTGTTAAACCTTTAACCCCACCTATGTCCCTTACTATAACTTCCTGGGCTAAAGAATAAATGCAGGAAGAGGAGCCCAATTTGGGGTTAATTTCCCAAGGAAGGAATGCCTTGCTCTTGAGGGTTCTGGGGGAGATTAGCCACTTTGGCACCTCTCACTGCTCAGAAGAGATGGGCTTTGAGTAATCCTTCATGGCTCCATCACCCAGGGGAAGAAGGGCGACAAATCTGTGGTAGGCAAAGCAACATCCAGAGCCTGATCTCTTGCTGAAGAAAAAACATTTCTCCCACCACTCATTCATTCATTCATTCATTCATTCATTCATTCATTCAAGTACTCCACAGCTACTTATCGATGCCTACACACTCTTAAATAATGAAGGTGCTGTTGTAGGGGGTTGTGCTGCCTCAGTGCACGAAGTACACAAAGACCCTGACCTTGACCTTCCAGTCTGCTGGAGGCGTAAGGAGACTACTTCAGACATCGGCAGGTAATGAGAGCCCTGAAAAAGGAGAACCTAGAGCAGGGTAGGGGAGGGAGGAATGCTGGGGCTGGAGGTCATCCTTTTAAATACAACAGTCAAGGAGACCTCACTGGGAAAGCATGCGGAGGAGCTGGCGGAGAGGGAGTGAGGGCCGCAGACACGGGGCAGAGTGACCACACTCGCTCCGTCAGTTGTCAGTGTCTGCTCTTGAGTATGATTTCATTCTTAAAAGGACTCCGCTATAAAGGAAAAAGAAAAGAAAAGAAAAAAGATAAGCAAATATGCCCGTGCAGTTCCTTCGATTAGGGTGTTGAGCACTTGCCGAGTTTTCAATGTCAATGCCGACTGTGAGGGGAGCACCCTCTGGACAGGGCCAGGTTTCCCTGGTGAAGAGCCTCAGGGTGCTTTGCTCACATACGAATTGCCATGGAGATGTCTAACAAGACAGAACTCACGGAGAGAAGATGCAGTCTGAGGGTCCAAGTCACCAGCGGGAGAGGGCAGGAAGGGAGCAGGCCTGGTATTTCCCGACTCATCTTGGCCAGCCACAGCTGCTCCACCAACCCCTGCCCGAGACTTGGGTTCTCAAAGTGCTTGACAATCACTGACATGCCCATTTTGGAAGGACAAGGCCAGGTGGATGGGCCTCATTGACCCCTTCTCCTTCCCCCTGAATCACCGTGATGGGGACCCTGTGAGCATCCTTTGCTATGAATCACTCCTGCAGTGAGTGTAGTGTTTACACTGGCAGGAGGACCTCATGTCAGAGGACACTCCCATGGGATAAGAGAAGGACGTTCTGAAACTCAAATCCCTCAAGCAAGTTGACTACACAGCTCAGCCTCTTTCTCTATCAGCAGACTTGTCAATTTAACTTAACCATGTTCAGGACCTTCTAATCAGTGGGGATTACTTGGAGTGGAGGACTGAGGGACCCTCCTTAGGCAAACATTACCTAACACTCTTTAAGCAAATAGAACCTGTGGTATAAAACCAAGGGCTCAGACAGACTCTCATCTCTGGCTTGTGGTCTCCTTTGGAGCAGAGAGGAGGTAACGACCACCATGGAGCACCAGGTGATCTGCACCCTGCTCACGGTCTTCACGCTGGTGCTCAGCACGCTGGCCGAAGACCAGACAGGTAAGGCAGCCTTCTTCCCACTTCCTGTTAGGGTGCAGCCAGGTAGAGGTTACCCTCTACTGGGAGCCTTTGGTATACAATATAGTCATCCCTCAGTATGCACGGGGATTGGTTCCAGGACCTCCTGAGGTTACCAAAACCTGCAGATGCTCAAGTCCCTGATATAAAACGGTGTGGCATTTGCATATAACCTATGCACATCCTCCTGTAGACATTAAACCATCTCTAGATCACTTATAATACCTAATATAATGCAAATGCTGTGTAAGCAGTTGTTATACCACACTGTTTAGGGAATAATGTCAAGAAGAAAAGTCTGTGCATGTTCAGTACAGATGCAACTTTTTTTCTGAATATTTTTGATTGGTGCTTGGTTGGATCCATGGATGTGGAAGCTTCGGATACAGAGGGCCAACTGCACTTTAGAGCACCTGTTTTGTGCCAGGGACTGTCTGGGCCCTTAAAAGTGTAGCCCATTTTACACAAAAGGCAAAAGCAGATGGATCAGGGTGGAAAAGCCCTTGAAGACCTTGAGAACTGCCATGAGAAAGCAGCGGTCGGTCACTGTCTTACGGTATCGACACTAGAATGTTATGTTGCTCTTAAGTGTCATAGTTCAAAGAGGAATTTTTGATGTAGGGTGTAAGAGTAGCATTTCCAAATGTCCAAGCCCCTGAGCCCCATGGGCCCTAGTGGGCTCTCTTGGACTCCCCTGGGCTGCCCTGGGTACTCCTAGGTTCTCCGGGGCCCCTTTGACTCTCCTCGGTCCTCCTAGACCCTCCTGCCCCCGCCCCCCGGCTCCCCTGGGCTATGTGCTCCAGTTGAGACAAAACCTACTCTCCCACTGGTGCGCGTCCATCAGCACCTATCCCCTGTGTCACCCAAATGGCTTGGCTGGCCCAGGTCCTTCTAAAGAATCGAGGAGGGAGGGCAGTGTTGCATCCTTTGAACCTGTGTCCATCTCCACTCCTCTGTCTGCCAAATGGGAACAGAAACCTGCCTGAGAGCACTGTCAAGAAAACAAAGTGCGACAGTGTTTGTGAAATGTACTTTGCCAGCTACAAAGTGCTACATAAATGTTATTATTGTTGGACAGTCTTAAGGTGGGGGGATAGAATAATTAGAATAATGGCTTTCCTAAGGTTTTCAAATCAAGCATTTGCAGAGGTTTGAGAAGGGAGCTAAGAGGTGGTTTCCATACACCTGTGGGCTCCTTCCACCTGCCTCGCGGTGAGCGCGGGGTGAGGTGACGGGTAGGGGAAGCAGGTTTGAACAGCAGGAAGGCGGAAGGCCTCTGGGAATAGCTTATCCACACCTGTGGCAGGGGGCAGAGGGCTGTGAAACCTGAGAGAGGAAATGGCTTTGGTGTGGAGGATGAAAGGGGTGGTCCCCCCCACAGCCCCTCCCCAGGCCCGGCTGCTTCTTCCTTTCCCCACTCCAGTCCTTGGCCCTGCCCACTGTGCTGTCGAGCTCAAGGCGGTAGTGGCAGCCTGCCCCACCTCTCCCTCTCTCCCTTCCCCCACGTTCCAGGACCCTGGCCCTCTAGTTCAAAGCTCAGTGCTTCTTTTGGGGTTTCACAGGGTCAATGATCCTGTTAAGACAGAAAGTTGGAGAACTGTGGTTACACATGTATCCCATGAATGGGACCATTTCCATTTACTTCCATTATGTGACAGTCAGTGGGTGGGCAGGACGGGCCCACAGTGCACAGAAATCCTACTTATGAACACCAGCCAGGAGGGAGAGGGTTACCCAGGAACCTGCCCCTCACCATGGAGTGCCGACTCTCCCTGTTGTGGGGAGGGAGAGGAGACAAGAGCTCTGGCACCCAGCTTTTACACACGCCAGCCCTCAGGACCCCCGTGACAGTCCTGTGGGTGGGCAATGACAACCTCCTCTTCATGGTGGAAGCCAGACCCTGGGAAGTTGAGGTCCCCCAGAGGCCTCCCAGCCAGTGGAGATGGATCCAGACTTTTCTTGCAAAGCCAGCAAATCTTTCTTCAAAGAAAGCTGGAAGCAATCTCCAGAAATAAGAGTCCTCCTGGACTCCCCGTGGGGACGTCCTCATGAGTACTTTGGAGTCACTATGGCCCAACTGTGCTCCTCCCCTCCTATGCCCAAGACAGAGACAGGGACAGGGAAGGCATTCTAGTCTCTTCTATTATCTGCCGCAGCCTGTCTGCCACCAGATCCTAATGGGTGTGCCTCTTAGACCTCGAGTTCAGACCCTGAAGAGCTGTCATCTGGATCACGTGATTCTGCAAGCTGGACCCTGTCTCCTCCATGTGTCTCCCCATGACAGATTTTCATCACTGCCCTGTTTCAAGCTGCTTAGTGGCTCCCTTTGCTTTCAGGCTGAGTCCATCCACCCTGGCCCTCAGTCTGGCTCTTCCCAGACCACCCCAGCCCACCCTCCCCACCTCACCTGCAAATGGGCTTACACCTCCCTGAGCACACCTTGGTCTCTCTTCACAGCCTGAGTGTGCTGCTCCATCTGCTTGGAACACCCACTGCCTTTCCCTCACCTGGTGAGCCTCCTCCAGTGATCCCTCCTGCTTTGTTCAGCCTGTCATTGGCCCCTCCTGGGGTTGTCCTCAGCACACAGGGGTGACCGCACTGTGCTGTCTTGTACGTGTTCCTGGCTTTCTCCTCCATTAGACTGTTAGCCTCTTAACAACAGCTTCTCTGTTCTTAATTTCTGGGTTCTCCCACCTGGCACATGCCTGGCTTTTGCTGTGCCAACTCCTGTTTTCAGCACACACAAAGGATGCTCAATACATATTTACTTACCAAGTGAATACAGTTTAATCACCATTTGTTGAAATTAATGAGTGAATGAGGAAGTTACCTGGGTAGGTGCCCCTTGCACGTTCCACGAGTGTAACTGCTTCCGCGTGAGGACATGTGGCCGTGTCCCTGTGGGCACCTCTGCAGCAGCCTCACCTGGAGGCAGTTCTGATTTCGTGGGAGAAGGAAGCTGGACGTGAGTGCTGTCAGTGACACCGAGGGTGCGGCCCCAACCTACCTCTGCTTCTTGCCCCTTCACTTTTAGAGTTGTGTGACGTATCCCCCAGGGAAAGAGTCAACTGCGGCTACCCTGGTGTCACGGCCTCGGACTGTGAAAAGAAAGGCTGCTGTTTTGACGACACTGTCTCTGGGTACCCGTGGTGCTTCTATACCACCAAAAGCACTTCAGAAGGTACGCCTGGTTCACATCCCTGCAGGGTCTGAAGATTTAGAATTAGCGAGAAACCCCAGCAGGGTTGCAGGGGCCCTGGCAGGCATCTCCAGCTGTGCTTTTACCCAGAATAATGGCCACAGGTGACCGTGGAGTGGTGCAGCCAAAGTCAGGCCGAGCTCACATCCAGCGGGCAGAAAGACAGGGCGAGAGACCTGCTGTGTTCCTGGCTTCTTGTCACACCTCTGACCGAGCCTGCGAGGAGCGTCCCCCGCAGCGCTCTCTGACTCACCTGGGGCAGAAGTGCAGGGAATGATGGTTAAGCTGGGAAGATGGTTTGTGTTTTCTAAAGGATTTTGCTGTTGGTGATTTTAAGTAAAAATTCTCTGGAATTGTTTAAAAGTGAAAGAAAGTAATCGTTCTAATGCCTCTCTTCTCGTCCCCCCGTCCTGTCCCCCACTTTAGAGGAGTGCCTGCTTTAGAAGATCTCCCCTTGGGGATCTGCTGGCGTCGTGACTTGGCGTTGTCCCCGCACAGTGGCCCTGGAACCCAGCCAACTCGACACCCTCCCGTGTCTGTGCCCCGGCTCACAGCATAGGTGGACTGCCCTGACTTTTAGCTCTCACAATTGGCCTAAAATTAAAAGAGATGAACGTCACTGTGCGCTTCTCATTCTTCTAAAAGTGTAAACTATTTTCCTTTCTTCGGAAGCGAAGTGCCGTATTTCCACCTCTGGTTTCTCTCCGTGGATGACACATTAGCTGGTACCGTGCGAGGTGCACGCGAGCAGGTGGGCAAGAGAGTGGGGCAGCGTGCTGCGCAGGCGCGGTCGGTGTCTGCGCACCAGGGCGCTGGATTTCGGGCTCACTCTGGAGACAGCAAAGTCCTCAAGAAGCAAGTGTAGGCCACACCCTGTCAAGTCACAAAAGCAGGCACCAACCTAGCATTCTTTAAATATTCATTGTGGATGTCTCAGCTACCAAGAAATAAAAATTACCTTCAATTCCTCTACTTCCCCAAATGGAAACTGGCTTAGGAGATGACACCCACAGCAACATGTCTTAAAGTGTTAATAATAAAAATGGCAGAGGATCACGAGCTGACACCCCCCGGGCCCCCCCCCCCCCCAACCTGCCACCTGAGATCTGAATGAACTGGAAAACAGAACCAAAGGGATGGGATACAGAAGCCAAATCAACCTCATTACCACTGGCCCCCACAGCGCCTTAGCAAGGATCGCCCGCTCCAGGCAGCTCAGCTGAGCAAGCCAGCTGCGACCCCCACCCCGTTCCCCCCCGTTAGACCCTCCAGGTGCCCTTGTGCTGGGCACAACCTGCACAATTGTACAAGGGCCCCAGGAGCACTGGGGAACTCCCGCTTTCTGTGGCCAGTGGGTTCCCAACAGGTGCTGAGCTGTGTGGGACCAGTTCTTTCCAAATTAACCAGTCAGGTAAATCCTTCCCCAAACCCTTGGCCACCAGGATGAGAGAATAGAGAGGCCAGGAGATGCTCCAGCCATAAAGAGAAATATCAGGAGTGGGAAGCCCATGCCCCGCTCCTTGGTAGCACATATGTGTAACGTATGTCGCGTTTTACATGCGTAATGACTCCTCTTATCTCTCCAATGTGCAGAGAAACGTCGGCTTCACTTTTTGTTTATAGTGTATCTGATCTTACAATCTCTGCCTGCTACTTAGAGATGAAAATAGATTAGCTTTAGTTAGTCTGACTCTTTTAAAATTCGCAATAATTCACACAGCTTCTGTAGGTCATAATTCTCGGGGGATAAATCACTCAGCCTCTCTTACCTCACCCCCACACCACTCCCTGCTCCTCCCTGGATCAGGTGCCATGAGGAGTCCTGGGGTCTGCACCATGCCCCATGGACTTTTGCCAGCCACCCATGGAGTGGCAGCTCAGGGTTCCCTGGAGGCTGGCTGGGTACCCAGTGCCTTCCTCTCCCCACAGTTCTCTGGTGTCAGAAAGGTAGGCTTTCTTCCATGACATCTTATGGCAGGCCTGTTTCCTGGGTACCACCGTCCATTCCATCCCTAACTTCCACTATACAGAACAGGAAAAAAGAACTCACTTTCCAAGTTCTCTTTCAGCTAGAGGTGGTCCATGAGACATAAGGGAGCATCTACTTGAAGGCTTTGGGGAGACTTTTCTTCCTTGATAAAAGAAGAGTGCCTCTGGCTGCTGCAGCCAGCCTGCAGCCTGCCTTTGGATGCTGTGGTACGAGGGTGCAACATGCTGCTTCAGGCAGCCATTCTGTAATAATGAGGCAAAGCCCGAGAGCTGGAGCCTTGACATCCCTGAGCTGCTGATTTGAACCCACCACCACCCACCTCCAGACTTCGTGTAGGTAAACCCAAGTGTCCTATGGGTTAAACCACAGCTTGTTGGGTTTCTGTTACTGAGTGATACATCACCAAGGCCCATGTCTTCCCTCTACTACGGAGCAGTGAGCCTGTGGCCCAGCAACATGGGTAGGGCCTCTACTCTCACCCAAGGTAAAGTTCCTTAGGGTGAGTCCTCCAGGGTAGGCCCTGGACCTGTTAAAAGAATTTAGGCAGTCTATTCTCTCTACCACATCTCATGGTTAGCACTAATTTCTCACTGAAGTCAGCAAGTCCCATCACTCCCAGGTTCTCAGCAGTAAACCTCAGGCTTGGCACCAGGAGTGAATTTCTGCAGAGGAGGTGATGTGGGGAGAAGTTGAAGGTGTCACTTTACGCCTGCTGAACCACCTCCATGACAATGGGTGTGTCATCTGCAGCCTATGCCCACTTTGCAGGGGAGGAAGATAGCACTGAGAAATGTTTAACAACCTGCCCTAGTGAGCAGACACAGGGCGGATTGTCACAGCACACGCATGAATCAGAGTTGCTCCCAGAATCGAGGTTCACTAATAATTTCAAGGATTTGGACAATTAAGAGGCTCAAGCAAAGCAGAGAGCGCTGTCTGGACATCAAGGGCAACCCCCACACTTTCCTTCCTGTGTCACATTTTCCTTCCTGTGTCAGCCCCCAAAATGCACCTGAGGTCTCTGATGAGGTTCACACAGCAGAGGAGGTTTAATTGTGAAACATCTCCCTTTCGTCAGCCCGAGAGATGTGTGTTTTAAGTAACATTTTCCAGGGAACCGTGACACATGGATTCAGGCTCCTTTGGCCAGGAGCATCCCATGGGGTGCCCACCAGAGGATGTGCCTTTGTGCTGGCAGATGCCATCAGACTGTGGCCCCAGGCCAGGTGACAAGGGGATCAATTAGGTAGGTTGCCCACCTTCCTTTGATTTCCCAGAGTTCCTTCCCAGTGAGGGGAGGAATGGGGGGAGTTCAGTGGCTCCAACTCCTCTCTCCCAGCATCACCTCCTCCGGGTGCCCGATCGCAAGACATAGGATCTGTGGCTCCCCACCCGCACGCGAGGTCTCCTCGCACTCACCAGATCAAGGGAGAGGGCTGGGGACTGCAGCAGGTGCATCCCTGGCCCTGCCACAGCCCAGAAGAGACCACAGCCTTCGTCCATCATGGCCAGAGGAGGGTTAAGAAGGAGGACTTGGTGAAGGTGTGGCCTGTCGGTGTCTGCCACACTGTCCTTCCGGAAAGTCAGAAAATCCATAAGAATTCCAACAGTGGGACACAACATATGAGAGCATGCAGAGAACTGTGCTAGTGGCAGCATGGCTGAGGCTCTGAGGAGGATGCTGGGACGATGCCTGCCCTGGCCTCCTCCTTGAACTGTCCCAGAATATCCCCAGCGCCATCTGCAGCTCCCTGAGTCTTTGGCAAGTATGTGGGGAGCTGCTGAGTTCTGCATGTGATAAAAATGGAGGCAGCATGGGGGCACGTGCCACCTCCTTCTTGTCTTCAGGCCAAGGGGGACCATCTGCAGCTCCCTGAGTCTTTGGCAAGTATGTGGGGAGCTGCTGAGTTCTGCATGCGATAAAAATGGAGGCAGCATGGGGGCACGTGCCACCTCCTTCTTGTCTTCAGGCCAAGGGGGTGAGATGAGAGATGGGGGTGGTGGACAGAGAAAGGCCCCCAAGGAGTAGAATGGTATCTTCCCCCAGCCCAGGGACACGAAGAAGTCATCATCACCAGTGCCAGCATTTTCAGGGCAGAGGTGGAAGCTCAAGCTCTGGGACTTCTAGAATTCTCTGCAGGGTGAGAGCTGTTACTGAGAAAGAGGTAGGTGTGTGCCCTGTCTTGAGAACAGGCTAGTGGAAGTCACTGTGTGATGCATGTCTGCACGTGAAAGAAAGCACACATGGGTGTGTGGGGTGAGGGGGACAGAGAGAAGCAGACAGGTGAGAAGCAGCCGTGCACACCTGACTTGGTCAACCTCCACCGAGCGCCGACCTTCCCCACCTGTGGCCCCCAGATGCCCCTTGGCAGTGACCGCCTGCCGCTGGGGAGGGCTGCAGGTCCTGGGGGCACACTTCTGTGGGTTTAGGCTTTGCAGGACACCATAATGAGGGGCTGTGTCCCTGCACCTCTCCCACACTATTCTGCAGTTCTGAATCCTGGGGCCGAGGAGCCAGGGCAGGGAGCCGCGCCGTGGTGGCCAGGCACTGGGGCTCTCCCTCTGTGCCTCCGAGGGTGGCAGTGCCTGGGCTGCACGGTGCGAAAGGCTGGCATGGAGACAAAGTGCCTTGATGAGAGCAGCCCTGCCGATGAGGCACCCGCAAGCAGCCCAGAGTCCGGGCCACGTGTCGCACACCAGCACACGGAGCTCTCGTGGGCCTGTCTCCCCGCCCCTGACCCTGCGGCACAGCTACGGCGTGGAGACAAAGTGCCTTGATGAGAGCAGCCCTGCCGATGAGGCACCCGCAAGCAGCCCAGAGTTCGGGCCACGTGTCGCACGCCAGCACACGGAGCTCTCGTGGGCCTGTCTCCCCGCCCCTGACCCTGCGGCACAGCTACGGCCATCCCAGTCTGCACAGCAGCGGCTGCCTGTCCAGGGAGGCAAAACCACGCTCCAACCTGCGTGCTTGTGGATACTGCTTGGTAGTGAGGGCTTCCTATATTCCATTTTTATCTTTAGAAGCAGTTCTACTTCAGAACAGCTCAGTGGAGTTGTGTGTCAGTTTATACTTTTCTTGGTTTTACCAGACATGAAGCTAAAATGCTAATCTGACCAGTTCCCAACCACTGACAAAGCTGTCCCTAACATCCTACACCCTATCCTGTTCCCAATGGCCGGAAACCATTGACCCATGGAACTTTCTAAGTCCTTGAAGCTCTTCAGACAAAAGTTCAGGTCTCTCATGGGGAGAGATTCGCCTTTTGGGGGGAATTTGGAGATATGCTAGGTACATGACAGGGTGTGGGAGAGGTCGTGTCTGCTGAACCCTGACGTGACTCGGAGTGTGGAATAGAGGAGCCACGAAGGAGCAGAGTTCGCCATGACGCCTGAGCAGCCACAAGGAGAGTGGGGCAGAAGAGCAGAGAGGTGGCAAGGAGGTCCAGACCCCCCAGGTGAGGCTGAGGCCACCCTAGGTTTCAGTGACACTCCAATGCCATGTGATGCCCCCTCCCCCTCCTCATCTTGATTGGCCTATTGGTCTGCCAGGGCTGCCATCACAAAATGCCACAGGTGGGCAGCTTAAACAGCAGACATTTATTTCCGTGCAGTCCTGGAGGCTGGAAGTCCAAGGTCAACGTGGGGCAGGGCTGGCTCCTCCCGATGCCTCTCTCCTTGGCTGCAGATGGCGTCTTCTCTGTGTCCTCACTGGGTCGTCTCTGTGTATGTGTCTGTGTCCTAATCTCCTCTTCTTATAAGGACACTGTCAGAGTGGATTAGGGCCCACCCTACACCCCCACTTTACCTTCATCACCTCTGTAAAGACCCTATCTTCACATGATATGGTCACATACTGAGGCAGTGGGGTTAGGACT